TTTCTGTAGCTTTTTTGTAATGTCAGGGGCTGACTGAGTCATAAACGTCTTTTAGGAGTGGCGTAGAAGTAAGGATGATATTTAAGCCACTCCAGGTGAGATTATAGGACTGGGTTAAGTATTGGAGAATCTGATGAAAATGAGCCTAACCATTGGCCAAGTTGGGAAAGATTGGATAAAGAGAAAGAAATGTGCACCCTAATTTTGCCTTTGGCTCCAGTTATCTTTGGAAGGGGGAATTGTTGGGCAGAGGCAGAGGAGTTTGCCCTGGGACTCAACTGTAAGCTGCACCAGATATGAGGTGGGGAGGTGACGGAAGGCATAAGGAGGTGGGTTGTGGGCAGAGGAAGAGGAGGGAGGCTTTGGGGGGCAGGGATTAGGGCCTGCATTAGGGCCTGGTTTGGACAGGTGAGGAGGAGAAAGATTGGAAGAGTTAATAGACAAGGAAGATTCTGAGTTACTGGCGGAGGTAAGAGTGGTGGACAGAGGCCGGGCGCGGTGGCTCAAGCCTGTAATCCCAGCACTTTGGGAGGCCGAGGCGGGTGGATCACGAGGTCAAGAGATCGAGACCATCCCGGTCAACATGGTGAAACCCCGTCTCTACTAAAAATACAAAAAAATCAGCTGGGCATGGTGGCGCGTGCCTGTGATCCCAGCTACTCAGGAGGCTGAAGCAGGAGAATTGCCTGAACCCGGGAGGCGGAGGTTGCGGTGAGCCGAGATCGCGCCATTGGACTCCAGCCTGGGTAATGAGCGAAACTCCGTCTCAGAAAAAAAGAGTGGTGGACAGAGGAGAGAAAAGGAAAATTTGGGATTGGCTGCATTGAAAGCAGAAATTAGAGAGGGATTGGTGTGTAAAAAATGCTTGGACATCAGGCACCTTACCATTTGCCTATTAATTTGTGAAAACTGTCTAGGTCTCACAGAATAGAAAAATTGGAAGTATTGTTTTCTGACCATTTGGAACCGTCGTCTAACATGTACTGGGATCAGGCTGTATTGCAGAAAAAAAGACGTTTAGGTTTCAGATTGGGCTACAGTTGAAGAGGTTTTAGGTTTTTAGGATGCAGGCTAGAGTCGAAGACTGAGGAAGAGGGCAAAACACTGCTCATAGCGAAGGAGATAAGTTTTAAGGAAAGAACTAGAGAAAAGACAAGGAGATGGAGTGAGCAGCTACCAGGATTTTCAGTAGGCATTCCTGACCGAGTCCTGGACTGTAACATGGGTGAGTGATCAAAGCAGGCATCCCTGCGAGTGACCAGACACCAAGGAAGGACCGTCTGACCTAGTGGAGTTCATGACTAAGATTGCGGATGCAGAGTCTCCTTTGCCTCTACTTAGAAGCAGAAGGAGTTAGGCTGGGCGTGGTGGCTCACGCCTGTAATCCAAGCACTTTGGAGGCCAAGGCGGGTGGATCACCTGAGGTCAGGAATTCAAGACCAGCCTGACCAACATGGTGAAATCCCCATCTTTAAAAAAATAAATAAATAATTTTTTTTGGTTTTTGTTTTTGTTTTTTTGAGACGGAGTTTCGCTCTTGTGACCCAGGCTGGAGTGCAATGACGCGATCTCAGCTCACCGCAACCTCCGCCTCCTGGGTTCAGGCAATTCTCCTGCCTCAGCCTCCTGAGTAGCTGGGATTATAGGCACGCGCCACCATGCCCAGCTAATTTTTTGTATTTTTAGTAGAGACGGGGTTTCACCATGTTGACCAGGATGGTCTCGATCTCTCGACCTCGTGATCTACCCGCCTCGGCCTCCCAAAGTGCTGGGATTACAGGCTTGAGCCACCGCGCCCGGCCTTTAATTTTATTTTTAAAAAATTATTTATTTAGGCCGGGCACGATGGCTCAAGCCTGTAATCCCAGCACTTTGGGAGGCCGAGGCGGGTGGATCACGAGGTCGAGAGATCGAAACCATCCTGGTCAACATGGTGAAACCCCGTCTCTACTAAAAATACAAAAAATTAGCTGGGCATGGTGGCGCGTGCCTGTAATCCCAGCTACTCAGGAGGCTGAGGCAGGAGAATTGCCTGAACCCAGGAGGCGGAGGTTGCGGTGAGCCGAGATCGCGCCATTGCAGTCTAGCCTGGGTAACAAGAGCGGAACTCCGTCTCAAAAAAAAAAAAAAAAAGACGTCGAAAGAGTTAAAGGAAAAGAGCCGGGGGGCCGGGAGGGTTGGGGAGAGTCTTGTCCCTGAGACGGCTCTCCTTTACTGAGAAGGAGAAAGATTTAAAGGAAGAGAGAGGGAGAGACTGCTTCCCTGATCTGAAGGTGGTGAGAAGGTTGTCGGGCTGGTCTGAGGTGCTGAGGTCACAGGGGGGTTTCTTCACAGAGGAAGAGCAGGGCCAGGATTTGGTCTCCCACAGGAGTATCCCTGTCCCAGGTTTCAACACCAGATGTTAGGTGTGCTATGAATAACAAGACCACCAAAACAGGCTTTGTGTGAGCAACAAGGCTGTTTATTCACTCAGGTACAAGTGCGCTGAGTCTGAAAAGAGAGTCAGTGGAGGGCGGTGGGATAAGAGTTGGTTTCAGAGGTTGGGGTAGGCAGTGGGAAGTTACAATTCAGCCCACTTTTTGCAAGCTGCAAGCCGTGGGGAGGGGCACCGGGTTTGATGCGGGGAGAGGGTAGTGTCACAAGGTCTAGTGTCACGAGGTTGGGTTATCATTTAAGGCACGAATGGTTGAGGCAAGAACAATGGGAAAATGGAAGATCAGTTAATCGGGCACTGCAGGAACCAGCCGTGCATCTTCTTCTGTGGTTTTCCCTTTCCTTCAGACTTTCTGGCTCCTGGAGACCTTCTGGAGTTGTACGTGTGGGTCACAGGGGTCACCATGCTGTAGTCCATGGTGCAGCCAATTCAAAGAATCTTGCAGGGAGGATTCTATATGGTGTCAGTAAGTGGACAGGGCTGTAGAGTATAAGTAGCATGCCCTGCACTGGAGACCGAGGTGTGGAATGCAGTAGATTTGCTACCCGAAAGTCTCATCACGCTGTCACGGGCACTGCCTGTGGAGCAGTCCCATCCCCAGCCAGTGCGGGTAAGCAGAAAGGATGAACATCTCTAATGAAGGATCATGCAGCTCCCTTTCAGAGGAGTATGTGTCAAGTAGGCTGGTTTAGTGCAAAGGCTAGCATACACCTTGCAAGTACACAGAAGTAGGGAACTAGAAAATCTGTATATAATATAAGTTAAACTTACACCAGCACTTAATGATTGGTCAAAATATTAATTTGCCTAAAGTATTTTATTGCAATGGCAAATCTTCCCAAATTTTCTGAAAAGTTTTTAAAGCAAGCAAAACAAACTTAATTTTTCAAAACCATATCAGTTTATTTGCATGGATAGTAGTAGCTGTTTCAGAGGCACTTGACATGTACAGACAAGCCTGATAGAAACAACAGCCCTGGACGGGCGCGGTGGCTCAAGCCTGTAATCCCAGCACTTTGGGAGGCCGAGGCGGGTGGATCACGAGGTCGAGAGATCGAGAACATCCTGGTCAACATGGTGAAACCCCGTCTCTACTAAAAATACAAAAAATTAGCTGGGCATGGTGGCGCTTGCCTGTAATCCCAGCTACTCAGGAGGCTGAGGCAGGAGACTTGTTTGAACCCAGGAGGTGGAGGTTGCGGTGAGCCGATACAGCGCCATTGCAGTCCAGACTGGGTAACAAGAGTGAAACTCCGTCTCAAAAAAAAAAACAATGTTGAGATGAAACCTGTGGCTGAACTCAGTAGTACAACAGCAAAGGAGAACAATGCTGAGTTTATCTGAGATCTGCATGTGGTTTTCCACTGCTGAATTGACCCATGAAATAGAGCCAGGGGAGGGTTTAATAGCTGGATTCAGGTGAAACTATGGCAGTGGGGCCATTGACCAGGAACAGATATGGTCCTGCATGCCGTATCGAAGCATTCCCTGGATGCTGTATGTAGATTTGAATGTGGGGAAGCCAGGGTGGTACCTACGTAGTGGGTGTCCATAGATGTAAAGGAGGTATGGCCAGAAGGGTGATGTGCACATGTAGATGGAGTGTGAATTCATGGGCCCAGAGCTTTGCTACTGAGGGTTTCTGAGACAATGCTGAGCTCAGGTTCTGTATGAGGCATCATCGGTTGATCCTAGGGGAGCTGGCTGATAGGAGAAGCCAGGCCATGGTGTTTAATCTGTCCACTTGCCTGTTAGGGGCTGGACAAAATGAATAATGGAATACGAGCAGAGAAGAGGCATCAGTCAAACTAGGGCCAGTTATCTCATTACAGTTAGATGTGACAAGGAATCCTGGAGAGAGAGGCTGACCTTAGGCTGAGTTGTCCACCACTTCACACGGGACTATGTGATCTCTGAGGACTTATTTGTGTGCTTCTCTTAGGAGGAATGGGAGCTGCTCGATGAGGCTCAGAGACTCTTCTATGATGAAATAATGGTTTCCGTGCTTTGCATTTATACTCTCCCTAGGTAGGGCCTCAGTGTCCCATTTTTGTGGGCTGGGCTCTGCTCTTCCTTTCGGCCCTAGGGATTGCTCTTGACTTTCCATGGCTAGAGCATGGGCACTGCTGTCTTTCCTGATTCCCTCACATAGGTCCCCTGGTGTCAAGGCTCAGCAAGATGCATTGTCTCCTCTGTTCCCTGTGTTCCTCAGCTCCTGCTGCCCTGAAGCCTTGCCAGGAATGGTTTAGGGGTCAGGGGTCCTAAGGTAAACCACTGAATCCTGCTTGGCCTCTCCCTGGCCAAGTGACTGTCCACACTCATGACACCTCCAGACTCCACCCCCTTCCTCTGATTGCATTTTCCTTGAGTCGGCCTGTGTCATCAGTTTCCGTCATCATGGTCACCACTTATGGGCCCACTAGACTGTTCCTGCTGCAGGACAGTTTTCTGGGGTTCATTTTGTAGTTTGTTTTCTTGTGATTTTGCATGGGTGGGCTACTCTGAGCTAGTGCTTTCTCACTCAGCCTGTTTCATCTTTCGCCTGTCTATGCTTTGTATCTTCCAGATCCTCTGTGGTTGCTGAACTGTAGCAAGAGAGAGAACTCCAGGTGCCTAACTGAAGAGGGCATGACTCTAGTCACAGCAGGAGGGGCTTGGGCAGGCCCTGGTAAGTGGGAGCTGAGGCTGAGGGAGGGCATGACCTCAGGGCTGGGTTCCTATAGTTCCGGAAACCTATGTTGTGCCCATCACTGGTGCCAAGGCCAGAGGTCCTAACTTATTTCTACCTTTTTTTCCCCGTTGTGTACACTCTTGTCATTTCTAATCTGACTTCTCACCCAGGGCTGTTCTCTCCCACTCTGTACCAGAGGGGCTCTAGTAGAGCAACAGGACTCTCTTCAGTGCTGTCCAGTATTGGACTACACTTAAACACTAATGTGTCGTAAGATGCGTACATATCCTGAAACAGTCCCTGAACACATCACTCACTTGTAATCACATGTTCATGGGCCTGGACACACATTTCTGCATAGCAGTCTCCTGTCACCCACAGTCAGCCAAGGTCCAGCCAAAAGTCATTGCAGAGGATTAAGTTGGAGACCTTGCACTTCTCCCTGCACTACACCCCATCCTTGTGTCTTTGTTTCTTGGGAGGCCATCTCCATTCCGGGTGACCTTAGATTCCAGTACTATATAGCAGCCCTTTCTTCACCCCGATCCTAGCTCTGTCCCACCAGGAAAACTTAGGTGCTCAGTCCTGGGTACACCAGACACTCATTTGTGATGGAGTTGCCCAACTCACCATAGTCACCATGTACATCAATAGTACTTTTCTGCCTTCAGGTTGTTGGCATGGAATGAAGGATGAAGAGGCATCTTCTGAACAGAGCCATACTAATATGTCACATATTAATACTTCCAAGGCAGGTTCACCCACACAGGCGGCTCACTTTTGTGACATATGTTACCCTATCTTGAAAGATATTTTGCACCTGGATGAACACCAGGGTACACACCATGGACTGAAACTTCACACATGTGAGGCTTGTGGGAGACAATTTGGGTTCAGTGCAAACCTTCTCCAGAACCAGAAGCGTTACAGTATAGAGAAATCCTTAAGAAGGGATGAAGGTGAGGCCTCGTTTGTGAAGAACTGCACAGTTAGCAAAGAACCTCACACATCAGAAAAGCCCTTTGCCTGTAAGGAGGAGCAGAAAAACTTCCAGGCTACTTTGGGTGCTTGCCAACAAAAGGCCATCTACCACAGCAAGAGGAAGACACATAGGAGCACTGAGAATAAGGATGCATTTCATGGTGAACAAATGCATTACAAGTGCAGTGAATGTGGGAAGGCTTTCCGCCGCAAAGACACACTGGTCCAACACCAGAGAATCCATAGTGGAGAGAAGCCTTATGAATGCAATGAATGTGGAAAAACCTTCTGCCGCAAAGCTACACTTGTCCAGCACCAGACAATCCATACTGGAGAAAGGCCTTATGAGTGCAGTGAATGTGGAAAAACCTTCAGCCGCAAAGCTACACTTGTCCAGCACCAGAGAATCCATACTGGAGAAAGGCCTTATGAGTGCAGCGAATGTGGAAAAACCTTTAGTCAAAAAGACAACCTTACTCAGCACAAGAGAATCCACACTGGAGAAATGCCTTATAAGTGCAATGAATGTGGGAAATATTTTAACCATCACTCCAATCTAATTGTACACCAGAGGGTTCACAATGGAGCAAGGCCTTATAAGTGTAGTGATTGTGGGAAAGTCTTTAGACACCAGTCTACACTTGTTCAACATGAGAGTATTCACACTGAGTCAAAGCGTTTTGAGTGCATTGAATGTGGGAAATTCTTTAGTCGAAGTTTCGAGTTTATTGCACACCAGAGGGTTCACACTGGTGAAAGGCCTTTTGTATGCAGTAAATGTGGGAAAGACTTTATCAGAACCTCCCACCTTGTTCGACACCAAAGACTTCACACTGGAGAAAGGCAGTGAATGTGGGAAGGCCTACCACCTAAGCCTTCACCTCAGTCGGCACCAGAAAGTTCACACTGCAGGCAGGCTCTAGGACTGCTTTGAATACAACAGAACTCAGCAGTCAGATGTTGAACTTCATGTATCTGAACATTGACTCAAGGGAGATAGCTTATGGTGCCAGGTATGTAGGAAACTTCTAGGGATATGTTGCACTTTCTGACCTGGTCAGGTTTTTTGCTGGAGTTACGTCACTGTCAGTGCCTGTGGCCAAAACCATCTTAACTCTACCAGCTTACATACCCTAGCATCAGGGAAGACAGGGTTTTATATTTTCCGGTCCCTGGAGAAAATCATGAAATGCCTGATTTTATTGGGGGTCCTCATTCCCTTCTGTGTGACAGGTATAGATATGGACATGACCCATCTTTAGCCAAGAAGGTCTGAGCTGTATCTGTTGGTGGCTTATACAAAAGGTTTGCTTTCTTCATGGATAGTCTTGATCTCACATACTTGTAATGAATTTTTCCAGCCTCCAAGTCACCTGGCCTGGGAAAGTACTTGCCTCATGTTGCTCTGCTTGTGATAATAAAGGCCTTACAGTTTAAGCCACCTTTAATCTTGGGGGTTCTTTTCACTGGATTGGATTGAGAACAGGCCCTGCCAAACTGAAGACCGCCTTTGTGGGGGCCTCCAACTTTGTGCCTCAAATGGGACAGTGGGTTGACGGAGAACAGTTCTTAGTCCAGTTTTCGACTGGACTAAGTTAACTTGCATAGCTGACAAAGCTTGTTAAGTTACAATTCAGATCTTTGTAGGCCTGATTTGTCCGGATTTTAGAGTTATTTGAGAGCCCATATGTCACGTTGAGGAGGGTGCTGCTGCTGTGACAGCCTGTAGTGTTTTGAAACTGCATGGATTGGGCATCTTGTTTCTAGCATATGTCCCATGTTCCCCAACACTGTTGAGGTAAACCTATTCCTCAGGACCTGCTGAGTGGCCATGTTTTCTGAAAACTGGAATCTGGTACACAGGCCACTTGGTAAGATCTAAAGCATCCAGTATGGAAACAAAATTGATAAATATTAGGTGTGAATGATTGGGCTTGGGAAGATCGAGGCAAACTAGAGGGGAAGTGTCCGTTATAAAAACACCACAGACAGCCCACGCACTATGGCTGAATGGGATCAGTGTATCCAGAAATCTCAGGATCTCCAGTACTGTGTTACTGTTACGGATAAGGTCCCTGGAGCAGCAATGAATGTAGTTTTCCTAGATTCCTGTACCTCCCTGGGCTCTATACCTAATGTCTTTTCTACTTTAGTGTCTTTGCTGTACATTCACTAACCCTGGGAGTAAAGAGGTGCGATGGGCCCAAGAAGTACCTTTTGTGACCAGCTAGAGTTTCTGGTGACTCTGAGTAATACCTGGAGGGACAACTAAAGAAAACATTTAGAAAGCACTGTCGGAATGTGGAGGTGAACAGGGATGCTGTAGTATTCATGCTTATTCATAGTTGTAACAAATGTTCAGTAAATACCTGCTGTATTTCAGGCACTGTCTTTACTGCAGAAGACATTTGCAAAACAAGAGACAGACCCCAGTAGCTTACATTGTACTGAAGAAAGAGGAGGAAATATGAAAAAAAAAAAAAAATTCTGAATTATATGGAGTCATAGATTGTGGCAGGCATAATGGAGAAAAGAGAAGGTGGGCCGGGCGCGGTGGCTCAAGCCTGTAATCCCAGCACTTTGGGAGGCCGAGGCGGGTGGATCACGAGGTCAAGAGATCGAGACCATCCTGGTCAACATGGTGAAACCCCGTCTCTACTAAAAATACAAAAAATTAGCTGGGCCTGGTGGCGCGTGCCTGTAATCCCAGCTACTCAGGAGGCTGAGGCTGGAGAATTGCGTGAACCCAGGAGGCGGAGGTTGCGGTGAGCCGAGATCGCGCCATTGCACTCTAGCCTGGGTAACAAGAGTGAAACTCCGTCTCAAAAAAAAAAAAAAAAAAAAAAAAGAGAGAGAAGGTGAAGGCATTGAGTCGTGCTGGAGTGGTATGTAATATTACACAGCCAAGAAAGGCCAATTTGTGGATGGATCTTTATTGGAAAAGGACATGGAGAGCTCAATGCCACTGAAATAAAAGTTCAGCGTTTTTGAAAATTTCCCTAGAAATCTGAAGCACAGTGTGCCATGCAGGGCCCCAGGAGGAACAGGTTTTAGTGTGAAGGAAGAGGCAAGAGCTAGGGGAAAGCCTAGACCAGATCCTTTATTGTGTTTTCCATGGGAAAGGCAAGGCAGATCAGAGCCGACATCTGAGTACTGGCTAGTCTGAATAATTGTGGTTGGCTTTGATTTACAGGAGTAGTCTCTACTTGCCTCCCACCTCGTCCTGGTGTTACAGTAGGTGGTTGGAGATCACGCCATTACACTCCAGCCTGGACAACAGAAGCAAATCTCTGTCTCAAAGAATAAGTGGTGACCAGGTGCAGTGGCTCACGCTTGTAATCCCAGCACTTTGGGAAGCTCAGGCGGGCAGATGACAAGGTCAAGAGATCGAGACCATCCTGGACAACATGGTGAAACCTCGTCTCTGCTGAAAACAGAAAAATTAGCTGGGTGTGGTGGCGGGCACCTGTAGTCCCAGGTACTCAGGAGTCTGAGGCAGGAGCATCTCTTGAACCTGGGAGGCGGAGGTTGCAGTGAACCAAGATCATGCTTGCACTCCAGCCTGGGCAACAGAGTGAGACTTTTGTCTCAAAAAATAAAAGTCAATAAGTGGCACCCAAATGAAATGATTTCTTTAAAATTGAACAAAGGTGAATGAAAATGAAACCCTTAAAGTTTTCTTTAAATGATAATGACTGCCACGTATTCTAAAAGTTACTTTTATTTTTAAAAATGACAGTGTCTAAGGTATATTTCAAGAAACCAGCACTGGATACTATCTAAAGTGGTAAAAGCAGATTTCAATTAGGGCCTATTGGAATAGGGAGAAAGCGACCTCATGAAACGAGGCCCACTTCCGAATACAGCGTAGACAGGGAATTTCTAGCCAGTAAACAGACTGTGTAGTCAGCTCATGGTTAATTACTAAGAGGAAACAACAGAGCTAAAGGGAGATTCTTTTTATTTTTAAACAGTCTCTCTCTGTCACTGCTCACTGCAACCTCTCCTACCCAGGCTCAAGCAATTGTCTTGCCTCAGCCTCCCGAGTAGCTGGGATTACAGGCGCCCACCCACACACCCAGCTCATTTTTGTCTTTTTGGTAGACGTGGTGTTTCACCATGTCGTGACCTCAAATGATCCATCCACCGCAGCTTCCCAAAGTGCTGGGATTACAGGAGTAAGCCACTTCGCCTGCTCAGGAAATTCTTTTTTGTTGTTTTTGTTTTTTTTGAGACAGAGAGTCTCACTTTGTTGCCCGGGCTGGAGTGCAATGGCGGTCTTGGCTCACTGCAACCTCTGCCTCCCGCATTCGGGTTCAAACAGTTCTCCAGCCTCAGCCTCCCAAGTAGCTGGGACCCCAGGCACCGGCCACTAAACCCGGCTAAATTTTGTATTTTTGGTAGAGATGGGTTTTGACCATGCTGGCCAGGCTCATCTTGAACTCTTGACCTTATAATCCACCCGCCTCAACCTCCCAAAGTGCTGGGAGTACAGGCGTGAGCCACCTCTCCTGGCTAGGAAATTCTTTTTTTTTTTTTTTTTGAGACGGAGTTTCGCTCTTGTTACCCAGGCTGGAGTGCAATGGCGCGATCTCGGCTCACCGCAACCTCTGCCTCCTGGGCTCAGGCAATTCTCCTGCCTCAGCCTCCTGAGTAGCTGGGATTACAGGCAAGCGCCACCATGCCCAGCTCGTTTTTTTGTATTTTTAGTAGACACGGGGTTTCACCATGTTGACCAGGATGGTCTCGATCTCTCGACCTCGTGATCCACCCGCCTAGGCCTCCCAAAGTGCTGGGATTACAGGCTTGAGCCACCGCGCCCGGCTGATACAGTGATTTATTTTGCTTTGGGTAAATATGCAGTAGTGGGATTGCCAGATCATATGAGAATTATATTTTTAGTTTATTGGGAAGTCTTTATACTGTTTTCCAAAGTGATTGTACTGATTAACAGTGTACAGGAGTTCCCTTTTGTCACATCTTCACCAACGTCTGTTAATTTTTGTCATTTTAAATAAAAACCATTCTAACTAGGGTAAGATAATATCTTCTGGATTTGATTTATATTTCTCTGATAATTAGTGATGTTGGCATTCTTCATATGTTTGTTGACTATTTGTTTGTCTTGAATTGAGAAATACCTGATCATGTCCTTTGCCCATTTTTAAATGAGATAGTTTTTGTGTTTGTTTTTGCTGTTGAAATGTTTGAGTTCTTTTTTTTTTTTTTTTTTTTTTGAGACGGAGTTTCGCTCTTGTTATCCAGGCTGGAGTGCAATGGCAACATCTGGGCTCACCGCAACGTCCGCCTCCTGGGCTCAGGCAATTCTCCTGCCTCAGCCTCCTGTGTAGCTGGGACTACAGGCACGCGCCACCATGCCCAGCTAATGTTTTGTATTTTTAGTAGAGACGGGGTTTCGCCATGTTGGCCAGGCTGGTCTTGAACTCCTGAGCTGGTGAACTGCCTGCCTTGGCCTCCCGAAGTGGTGGGATTACAGTCCTGAGGTACCACACCCGGACTTTAGTCAATCCTTATTTTTTTTTTTTTTTTTTTTTGAGACGGAGTTTTCGCTCTTGTTACCCAGGTTGGAGTGCAATGGCGCGATCGCGGCTCACTGCAACCTCTGCCTCCTGGGTTCAGGCAATTCTCCTGCCTCAGCCTCCTGAGTAGCTGGGATTACAGGCACGCGCCACCATGCCCAGCTAATTTTTTGTATTTTTAGTAGAGACGGGGTTTCACCATGTTGACCAGGGTGGTCTCGATCTCTTGACCTCGTGATCCACCCGCCTCGGCCTCCCAAAGTGCTGGGATTACAGGCTTGAGCTACCGTGCCCGGCTTGAGTTCTTATATATTCTAGGACTATCCCCTGCTGGATGAGTCGTTTTCAAACATTTTCTCTCATTCAAGAGGCTCTCTCCATTCACTCTCTTGTTTCTTTTGCTGTGCAGAAGCTTTCAAGTTCCAGATGGTCTCATTTGTCTATTTTTTGTTTTTGTTGCCCTTGCTTTTGAGGACTTAGTTATAAAATATTTGCCTAGAAGAATGTTCAGAAGAGTTTTCTTTATGTTTATCCTAGTGGTTTAGTAATTTTGGGTCTATTGTTTAAGTCTTTAATCAATCTTGGGTTGATTTTTGTATACAGGGAGACATAGAAGTCCAGGTTCTTTCTTCTGCATGTGGTTATCTAGTTTGTCCAGCACCATTTATTGAGGAAATGGCATTTCCCCAATGTACATTCTTTATGGTTGTGTTCAAAATCAGTCATCTGTAAATATGGATTTTTTTCTGGGCTCCATTTTTTTATGTGTCTGTTCTGTGTATCATATCAATACCATGTTGTTGTGGTTACTGTGGCTTTGTAATATATTTTAAAATTAGTTAATGTGATGCCTCCATGATTGTTCTTTTTGTTAAGGATTGCATTCACTATTCAGGATCTGTTTGGTTTCCATAGAAATTATATGATTTTTTTCCTTTTTTGTGAAAAATGATATTAGAATTTGATACAGATTGTATTGAATCTGTAGACAGCTTTGTGTAGTATAGATATTTTAGGAATATTCTTCCAGTTCATGAGTGTGGATATCTATTTGTTTTTGTCCTTTTTTTTTTTTTTTTTTTTTTTTTTTTTTTGAGGCGGAGTTTCACTCTTATTACCCAGACTAGAGTGCAATGGCGCGATCTCGGCTCACCACAGCCTCCGCCTCCTGGGTTCAGGCAATTCTCCTGCCTCAGCCTCCCGCGTAGCTGGGATTACAGGCACGCGCCACCATGCCCAGCTAATTTTTTTGTATTTTTAGTAGAGATGGGGTTTCAGCATGTTGACCAGGATGGTCTCGATCAATTGAGCTCGTGATCCACCCGCCTCAGCCTCCCAAAGTGCTGGTATTACAGGCGTGAGCCACCGTGCTCAACCTTGGTTAATTTTGCTCGTGGTGTAACAACTTTGTTTAGCTTTTCAAATAACCAGTTTTTCCTTTTGCTTATTCTTTGTTTTGCTTTTTAAAGTCTTCATTTCGGCCAGGTGGGGTGGCTCATGCCTGTAATCCCAGCACTTTGGGAGGTCAAGGCTGGTGGATCACTTGACGTCTGGAGTTTTTGAGACCAGCCTGGCCAACATGGTAAACCCCATCTCTTAAAACAAAACAAAACAAAACAAAAAGCAAGGACTAATAAAGTCTCCATTTCATTTAGTTCTACTCTGATTATTATTTCTTTTCTTCTTCTACTTTTTGGGTTTTTTAAATACTCTTTGAGTTCCTTGAGGTGCATCATTATTTTGTGGGCTTGTCTTGAGATCTTTTTA